CAAGACGTCTGAGTCCCAATCAACTGGGAACCAGCACGTTTTCCATTTAATGTCCACTTGGAGGATCACGTGTAGAGTTGCATTTGTCTGCACGTGGACACTGCTCTGTTGTGCACACTTGATTAAGGCAACTATTTAGAAACATGGTATATCCTTTCCACCTCATCTATCTGTTGGAGTTTTATATCATGCTCATTGTCATGCTATCTGCGTGCTTCTTTGATTGTGCCACCCATTTTAAATGCACATATCTACGGGTATTTGATAGCACGATCATTCATATGCACTTGGCTGCATTTATTTGTGTCATGACTTAAATAGATGCACCTGCAAGTCTACATAAAAAATCACCTAAGTCTATGAACTGAAATTTGAGGGAAAGCAACAGAATGCACATTATAGTGTTATTTCTAGCTCTTTAGAGCTCTATTTCAATGCCTTTTCCTCCCAGATGAAGAGAGAGAAACTCATTTTTATGCAAGGCTGCTGTGTGAATCTTGAAGGCATAACTTTCTAAAACAAGTATCTTGTGAATGTTCCATTAAGCAATTATATATAATGTACATGTGTATATGCATATTTGTATTTCTAAACCTATACTCGCCTGCTTTTCGTGCTTTGAATGGTCAGAAACAACCGTTCATTTCTAATTTCAGCAAGCAGGGCTGTCTGCTGTGTCTTGCTGGCACTCCAGCCCCTCAGCCCCCAGCCCACATAGGGGCTTCTCGCTGCCTCTGCACCTCCTTCCACATCACCTTCCTCCCGACACTGAGGAGCTTTCGGATCATAATGCCTGTGGTGGGAAAAAAGGTGCACACCAGCTACATTAGGTGCACACCAGCAGGGAGTGTGCCCTCGTTCAAAGCTTTGCAGCAGTACTTTTTTATTTCTGTCAGCTTCCTTGTCATTTTTTTTTTCTTTGCTTTATAGTGACCTCAGTATAAAGCAATCAAAAGCCAAAACAAACCTCGGAATAACACAGACTGCATATAATTTTCCGCCTTGTTTCTATGCCATCAGACCCGCTCCTGAAGCTGTGTGTTCTGAATTTTTGCTTCCTATGGGGTTATACGGCAGTGGAGAGGCTGGGGGCTGTGCTCAGCATGGGCAAGAGAAGGCTCTTCGCTGTCTGACCCCAACAGGAAGTTGTAGAGGAGAGAGAGCCATGATCTCCTTGAAGCTGCCCAGTAAAATGGTGAGAGGCAACAGACACAAGTTGTGGCAGTGGAAATCCTGAGGGCATAAGGCAAAAAAATCTTCCCAGTGAGAGTGGTCAGATACTGGAACAAGTTGCCCAGAAAGGCTGTAGCATCTCAGCTATTTTTTTAATTATTTCTAAGCAAATTTTGACTTCCTAATAAGTCAAATTCCTAATTCAGGACTTCCTAATTCAGATCCCAAATTAAAGTTTAGATGTGTATCAAACTAGTCTTCTGAACCCCATTTTTTGTTTGTTTTTGTAAAAAAAATCAAGAAAACAAATAGGTTCTAGGTCAGCAATAAATTAATTCTTCACACCTTTTTAGGAGTTCTGCTGAAAAGATGCCTATGTCTACAAAGGTCTCACCATCAGGAAGAAATTCTACCTCTTCCCATGTTGGAGAACAAATGGATAAAAAAAAAAAAGTAAGATTCCAGTTCAGATAAGGGTTCAGTCTTAAATCTGCTATTAAGAGTTTACTTGTCTAAGTTTCAAGTCTGTAATTTTGTTCTTTCCTCCTGATGAAAAAAAAACCCAAATCAAAGCAAAAACAAAAAAAACCCCACCAATGTCACAGAATGAGATGTCCTGTAATGAGTATTGGGTCACATGGGGTTGGATGCGGTGCATGGGGCAGGATGGACTGACATGTGTTGGGATTCATGGGGACAGGTGTCTGAGGTGGACTGAGATGGACTGAGATGAGCTGGGCTGCCTTGGGATAAGTTAGGATGGGATGTCTGGGGTGAGATAAGGCACAAGGGCCTGAGATGGTGTGTGTTGGGTGGAATGGGTTAGAATGGGGTGAAGCAGGATGAGGTGCATGGGTTGCGATGTGGGCTGGGATGGGGCAGGAAGAGTTGCGATAGGCAGTGTGATGGGCTGGGATGGGGTGTGTGGGATAGAATGGGATGAAGCAGGATAGAGCACATGGGGCAGGATGGGTTGGGATGCAGGGCACGGGGCCAACTGGGCTGAGGCAGGATGGGCTGTGCTAGAGAATGACGTGAGATGGCCTGAGGTGGGGAGCAGGGGGCAGGATGGGACAACTTCTACACAGGTGTGGTGAAGCATTGTAATAAGCCGTCCAGGGAAGTGGATCAAGGATCCCTGGAAGTATTCAGGAAATGTGCAGATGAGGCACTTAGGGACATGGTTTATCAGCCACGGTGTTGAAGGGCTTACAGTTGGCCTCAATGATCTCAAAGGTCTTTCCTAACCATAATCATCCCATGACTCTAGGCCAGGACAGGGCACGTAGGGACGGTCTGGACTGGGGCAGGGTGGGCTGAGGTGGGATGCCGTGGATGGGGAGCGTGAGGCGACACGGGCCGCGCCGAGTCCCGAGGGGCGCAACGCAACGCGCCCAGGGCGCGGGTCCCGCTCGCCGCG